GCCAACACTAAGTGCGCAAACTGGAAAGCACCAAAGCTGCGCGCGGATGGCGGCATCAAGCAGAGTGGGCTCCGCCAGGGCGAGAAGAAGGGCATGAAACACTCGCTCTACTTTAAGCTCGAGGTGGTGCGCACGCTGCGCAGGTTGCAGAGCCTCGAGAAGCGCTGGGAGAAGGCGCCGAGTGGCTGGCGTGGCGCCGGCATCGAGACGTCGGAGATTCACAAGGGCGTACACCCCTCCCTCGTGTCCAAGTGGGGCGGCAAGGAGGACGAGCTGCACATGGCGCTGCAGCACGAGAACCGCGTCAGCCGTAAGCAGAAGCACCGCACCGGCACGATGGCGACGTTCCAGTCGCGCGGCGCACGGCGGACGACCCTCCATCGCGGCCGCGCGCCGCCTTTCGCTGCGGTCGAGGTGGAGCTGCACAAGCGCTACCGCGACAAGCGGACGCGTGGCGAGCGCGTGACCGGCCAATGGCTTCGCGTCTCCATGAAGCGCCTCGTGCGCGAGTTCGCCGGCGCCGACGTGGCCGACGGCTTCAAGGCGTCCAAGTGGTGGCTGCGGTCGTTCGCGCGGCGCTTCGGCATGTCGCTCCGGCGCAAGTCGAACAGCCGCGCCGAGTCCGTCCTCGTGCGGCTGCCGAAGATCAAGCGCTGGCACGCGCGCCTCCGTCGCCGCCTCCGTGGCGGCCTGCAGGAGAAGCTCGACCCAAAGTGGGGACGCTGGTTGCCGCGCAACCGGCTGAGCGTCGACCAGGTGCCGTGCAACCTCCGAGCGGGCGATGGGCGCACCTACGACGACACGGGCGCCAAGCGCGTCTGGCTGGCGGGGGCGAAGGCTGACGACGGCAAGCGCTTCTGCACGCTGCAGATCGTCGCGCGCGCGAGCAACGGCGACGCCTCGATGCCGCGGCACGGGCAGCCCAAGCTGTGCGTGATCTTTCGCGGCCAGGGCAAGCAGATCTCGCAGAATGAGCGAGATGCGCGCCACTCCGACGTGCAGGTGCGCTTCCAGCCGAAGGCGTGGGCTGACGACCAGCTCTGCGAGGACTTCGCGGACGTGGAGATGCGCGAGGCGACGGCGGCCGCACGCGCCGCGGGCGAGCGGAGCGTCGCCATCTTCGACAACCTCTCCGGCCAGACGACGCCCGAGCACCTGCGCAACCTGCAGCGCCGCGCCCACTGCGACCGCCACCTGCTGCCGACTGGCTCGACGGGCGAGCTGATGCTCATCGACGGCGGCATCGGCGTCCGCCTCAAGAACCTGATGGGCGACGAGATGGACACGTGGCTCGAGCAGCCGGGCCACCTCGAGCGCTGGACCAAGGGCCCCAAGGAGGGTGGCCTCAAGGCGTGGCAGAAGCGTTCGCTCATCACGCAGATCGCGGGCCGAGCGTGGGAGACGCTCTGCGCCACGTATGACTTCGAGAAGTCGGCGCGCAGCCTCGGCCTGCTCATGACTGTCGACGGCTCCGGCGACGAGCACATCTGCGTGCAGGGGGTGACGGACTACACCTTCAAGGACGAGGACGGCGGATCGGACGGCGGGGAGAGCGAGGCGGACGAGGACGAGGCGGAGCTCGCCGATGTCGACGAGGCGGCGGGCGAGGAGGAGGGCGAGGAGGAGGGCGAGGAGGAGGCGGAGGACGGCATGGAGGACTCAGAGGACGAGGACGAGGACGACACCGCCGTGCGCATGCAGGCATGCGGCGAGGCTCCGGCAATGCCCCCGAAGGGCTACGTCTATGCGGCGACGTGCCCGCCGCTGGCGAACGACGACGAGCAGCGCGCGCTGTGCCGGCGCAAGATCCTCGCCGCGCACCTCCTCGACGGCGCCACCGGCTGGTACGTTGGCACCGTGCAGCACTTCGGCGTGGGCTCCTCGTGGCGTCAGCCTGACGCGACGCACATCGTCATGTACTCCCAGAAAGAGACGGGCACCAAGCACCTCGCGGGCCGTGTCGCGTGCAAGCTAGCCGCCGACAACTATGGCGCGAGCGAGTGGTGGCTCCTGCTGGAGCCGGCGCCAGAGAGCTGAGCATGAGGGACTTGACGTGTTGCGTCACTGTTCACGCAAAGACACAACCCCGGGCCCAAGACTCACACTGTTCACACTATAGAGAGGGTGAAAATTGCGTTTCACCATGACTGTAGACTGAGAAGAAAGTGAAAGAACGACCTCTCTCTAAAATGTAAAAAGTCGTATGATTTCTAAAATTTTCTTCGCGCCTGCGGCGCGGCAGATCAGAGAAATCGGGCCGGCCTCGTGCCAGCAGCCGATTTCTATTTCGGCCAGGGAAATCAGCCAAATTTCCAGCAGCCAATTTCTAAACACCGATTTCTAAGGCAAGAGCACGCACTGTATTAATTTTGACACTCGAGACAGTCTGCGATCTTGGCGCGCGGGCGCGCGGCGGGCGAAGGAAACGCCGACCCTCCCGAACCGCCCAGTATTCTCAAACGTCCCTCCCATCTACATTCTCATTGCAACCGTTGGACCGAGCGCCTGCCAAGGCAGTGCTAGCCACCCAGTGCAGCGCAGGTGATCTCCAAGCCTTCTCCTCGACGAGCCGCGCCGCGCCGACCGCGTCGCCGGCCGCGCCGAGCGCCCGCACGGTGTGGACTCTGTCCCACTCCGACGGCTCGATCCGGCGCTCATACAAGTGGCGCCACACCCACCCCGCCGCGTCGGCGGCCTCTCGCCGCCGCTCCCGCGGGGCGTCGGCGCACGCGCGGAGCAGCGCGCTGCATGCGGCGCCGTCGAGCGACCGGCGTCGGCGCTGCCGGCTCCCGGGTCGAGCGGCGAGGGCCGCGCTGTCGCTGTCGGCCGGGGTGCTGTCGGCCAAGCCGCTGTCGGCCGGGCCTAAAAGAAACACGCGCTAAAAGGAACCCGGGTGCCGGCCAGGCCGCTGTCGGCCAGGCCGCCACCTGCGCCGCCGGCGCCGGCGCCGCCATTCTCGACCCACTCGCGCGCCAGCAGCGCCGCGCGCGGCCCGTCGCCGACTGGCGCGAGGGCCTAAGACAGAAAGAAAGACACGCACTGACACCAGAAAGACCGCGGCCCGATGCGCCGACTGGCGCGAGGGCCCAGGCGAGGAGCGAGAAGGTGGCCGAGTCGGGTGCGACGCCGTGGGAGCGGTGCAGCAGCCGGTAGAGGGCGAGGGCGCGGCGCGGCTGGCCGGTCGCGGCGCTCGCTCGCAGGAGGGCGTTGAGCGTGTACGAGTCGGGCGCTGCGCCGGAGCTCGCCATCTGCCGCGCGAGGCTCTCCGCCTAATGAGCACGAATTAACTCTCACCGACGAGCTAATGAGTTAGCGCCGTCTGCGCGCGCGGGGCTGTCTGCGTTGAGCCGCTCTCCTCTGCGCGCAAACGCGCCGATGAGCAGGTTGAAGGAGGCGGCCGAGGGGGCGCCGCCGCCGCCGCAGAAGGAGTTGAAGACCTCAACTGCGGCGGGCAGCTCGCCCGCCGAGACGAAGGAGTGCAGCAGCGTGTGCAGCGTCCGTGCCGACGGCCTGAGCCTCGAGGAGCCGCTAGCGGAGAGGAGGGTGGAGGCCTCGCTCGCGCGGCCGGACCGAAGAAGGGACTGCAGCATCACGTTGAAGAGGGGCAGGTCGGGGGAGGCGCCGCCCCCGCGCAGGCTCGCACCCAGCTCCGAGGCGAGGCGGCCTGCGCCCGCCACCTCGCCCGCCTGCAGCAGGGCGGTGAGCAGCATAGCGCTCGTCCGGTTGTCGGCGCGCACGAGGCTGTGCAGCGAGAGCGCCTCCATCGTGCGGCCCTCACGCGCGAGCGCCGCCATGAGCGCGGCCGACTGGCTCGGGTTCGATACGCCGCCGGCCCGGTGGAAAGCGGTCAGCGCCTCGGACGCCTCGTCGAGCCGTCCGTCGCGCCTCAACCTGGCGGCCAGCGCGTCGAAGGTGGGTGCGCACGGCAGCTGGTCGTTGTTGCAGCCTGCCACGAGCACCTCGCACGCGAGGCCGCATCTGCCAGCCGCACGCAAGTCGTCCACGAGCGCCGACACCTCCGGCGCTGCCATGCGCTGCACGCTGCTCACAAGAGCAGCGCGATGGGAGGCGCTCTCGAGCGGCGGCAGAGAGGCGAGCGCGGCGGCCGTGGGGCAGCCAGCGGTTAGCAGCAGTCGGAGCAGCCGGAGCAACGGGCGGGTGCAGGTGGCCATTATCCGCGTCCTTCAGGGTTCCAACTTTTTGCGGGGTATGGTATGGTTCACGCGGCCCAAAGGGTCTTGGGCGTCGGGGTGGCGAGCAGGGGACGCAGCTCTGAGCGCCCAGCGACGCGTGCCGGATGGAGTCCGGCCGCGGGTGACTAGGGAAGTTCGCTCAGGATGTGTCGCAGTCAGTTCGGCTGAGTGTCTTGTCTTGTGGTTCTGTGTGTCGCTCCTGTGTGACCGTCATCGCCCGTCTAGCGTCCACCCATACCGCGTTGGTGTCCCAGTCGTTGGTCGGACTGTGTTTCGCCTTCCCATCAATCAATCAATCAAAGGGTGGGGTGGCATGGTCCTGACCGCCCATCCCCGGTCTCCGGGAGGCTGCGTTTGTCAGCAGGCGGGGGGATATTGTCTCGAGGTGGGTTGGAGCGTTAGTACCATACCATAGTCCATACCCCGCAAAAAGTCCGAACCCAGGCTCGCCGGGAGAGACCTAAAAAGAAAAGCACGAGATTGCGCGAGATCGACCGAGATTGCGCGGCGCGCCACGCGGCGAGGTGGATGGGTTGGGAGCGCAGGGTAGCTGGCAGCTGACGACAGAGCGCCGAGGTTGGAGCAGCAGAAGGCTGGCTCGAAGGAGCCGAAGAGGGCGAAGCGGACGGCGCTGCCGACGGGGCAGATGTAGGCGGAGGCGGGGCGTACGGCGGAGGCGCGCAAGCGACTGGGAAGGGGGACGTGAAGGAGAACATGAAGTTCCGTCCCGAATTAAACTTAGCAGCGGTCGCACCGAGTGTCATCGTGAAGCTGCTGGTTGATGCGAAGTAGAACGTCACCGATCTGGCAAGCTGCAGCGAGGTCAGACCGGTCGTCGACGTGGGGTTGTCCGCCCCGGTGCCAATCGCTGTCGCGGAGAAGCGGGTGCGACCGTCCAAAAAGAAAGAAATAAAACATACAACCCAAAGGAGGGATGGGAGGACGGCACGCCGCCACCACACAGGGATTTCACGGGAAGGAAGGTGTGTTGCTAGCCGTCGCCCACCCTTGGGCGTCTGCCTCTTCCTTCTCTCTTCGCAGTCGGGACGGCGGTTTTTTTGGCAGTCGAAAATTTTGCTTCAAAAGCGGGCGCCGAATTACTACTTGTGCCTCCCTCGTCGCAGCTGTGGCGTCTCCCCTCACACGAGACCAAGCGCCTCTCGTCCCACGGCCATATATGGACAGCCCCTGGTCGCTAGTGGATGACGATTTTGGGGGGCGTGGCAAAGGGCGCAACGGTGGCAAGTTGCTGGGCGCGCCGCCATCGGGCTTCTCGGCGCGAATACCGATTGAGAAACCAGACGTGTCTGTGCCGACGCCAGTGCAAGAGAATTTGAAAAAGACAGAATCGTACCCAGACATCGAGGATCCGACCTTGATAGCCGGTGAGAATCAGCCTCTCACACGAAAGGGAAGTGCAATTCACCTCGTGGCGAATCACTTCTTCGCCGTCCGCCAAGGGCTTGCGGCAAATCAGCTGAGCGTGCTCCTGCTTTCCGCTCTCTTCTTTGTCTTTTCACTCAATATCCTCCTTTGGTCATACTTTCTAGCTCAGTCTTGCACCAGTGCCGAGTTGGTCGGCTGAGTGTCGCTGTAGGCCATGACGCGGTACGAGGGGGTGGGGGGTGCAGGCACAGCCACAGGCGCTCGTCCAGCGGCCGGGACCGAGGAGCGAGGGGTGCCCCGGCGATGCGTGTGCGCGTGACTACAAATTGTACAAAGATTATGCTCCTTTGCTCACTCGTTTTCACGCGCGGCCGCACGTCGTGGCCGTGCCGCTTCGAGTTCGAGCTTCGACCTTCGTCCCGTTCGACACGGGGCGCGGGGCGCGCGCGGGGCGGCCGCCCCGCGGCCCGCGCTGCGCGCGCTGGGGCCCCGCTCTGCACACCCGCCCCTACAGGCACCCCGCTCACACTCCACGGACGGAGAGAGACGCGTTTTGACTCAAAATCCTGCCTGTACGTACACGCGTCCCCACATGCGGCGTAGTACCTGCCGTAATTCAGCGCAAAAAAAGAGAGCGGGCTCGTCCAGGTCCAGTCTGCGTTTCTTGATCTTCTCTCACTCGGCCGCATTGCCGCACGAGTCCTCGCTCAGGAGCACGTTGAGCTTCGCGGCGTCCGTGTCCTCATTAATGAACCACTGCTCGATGCTCGACGCAGAGACAAAGAGGCCGACCGGCGTCGTCAGCGAGACAGCGTGCCGCAGGAATCGCGCGCGCGCCCGCCTCCGCGTGATCCGGCCGCGCTGAATCCGCTGTATCTCGACTGCAGAGCGAGCCTTGGTCGCCGGGCCAAAGAAAGGGAACAGCCCGCCCTTCTCCACGATCGAGCTTCGACCCGCCGCACCGTCGTCGTCGCGCGCCACGGACAGCCTCTCCGCCTGCAACTCTGCCGCCCGCCTCCTCTGCTGGTCTCGCGCCATCTTTGCTTTCATCAGCGCCGATGAGAGCATCGGGACCAGCTGCCCCTCCTTGTCGTAGCCGGTAGGCCTCGCACGGTGCAGCGCTCGCCCGAGGAGCGGCACGGTGAAGACCAGGTAGGGCAGCGAGAGGAGAGCCCACGTCAGCTTGGCATAGTAGGCGTAGCACCAGAGCAGCCACGACGGCCGGCCGCGAGCGGTGGCCACGGCGGCGTTGGCGGCGAGGGCGGCGGCGATGAGCACGAGGACAACCGCATCGTATAGCAGGAAGTAGGGCAGGAAGCCTACGTGCTGAAGACACCGAGTCAGGGGGGGAGACGGTGTTGTGCAGGGACAGCAGAAGACGTGTCCAGTTCGAACAAAAGAGTACGTATTCCGTATCTAGGGCGAAGGGCCTCCGCGGCGCCTCTGGACCCCGTATCGGATGCGAGCAGCAGCGATCGCCCCTTGAACCTCCTCGTGGCTGGGCGGCGCGGCCTCCGCCCGCAGCCGCACGTACCCCCGGCCGGCCGACGGCGCCGCGCCGCCGGGTGCAGCGGCGGCGGCGGCACGGCCTCCGAGCTTGCCCATCGCCTTGTCCACTCGGACCTGCTCGAGGGCGAGCAGCTCCTCGGGGCCTGCGGTCCGGATACACCGAGGTCAGGGCGGGAATGCGGCCTCGCTCTCGAGCGCTAGTTGGAACACACGAGCCCGTACTCCGCTTCTCTCTAGGGCGAGGGGCCTCCAAAGGCGCGGCCGCCCACAAGCAGCAGCCCCGACATGGCCAGCAGCGCTACACGAGCCACCTCGAGCAGCGCGATTGAGAGGGGCAGCGCGGGCGCCATCGCGGCGCAGGAGGCTGGGTCGCCGTCCGCGGCGCGCTGCAGGCACGAGAGGAACGCATATGCGATGGAGGAGGCGGAGAAGACGCCCGAGATGAACTGGAACGACTTGAAGGAGAGGATGTAGCCCACGAGCTGGGACTCGTCGCTCTTGTCGATGAGCACAAACAGCAGGATGAAGACAAGCACGTTTGTCCCAAACGCGGGGCTCATCTTGAGAAGGATGACCCCGAGCGCCACGCCGTCCCGCTCCGCCACGCTGCGCAGCTTGTTGCCGTCGGCGGGCTTGAGCGAGTGGAGAACGCGCGCGCGCACGCAGTTCCACGCGCCAAACTGCAGGCGCGGTCGCCGTGCCCAGTGGAAGAGCTGCCTCCGCTTCTCCTTGGCGCGTGCGCGGCCGGCCGTCTCCATGATGGACTCCTCGATCGTCTCCTTCAGGTCCGGCCACGCGCCGGCAAAGACCTGGTCCGCGAGACGCTCCATCCAGCGGCTGGCGTACGGCGGCTTGAGCATTCGTTTCAAGGACGCGCCAAACGCCCGCAGGACTTTCTCGACGGAGTGCTGCAGGGCGCGGTCGAGCAGGCCTTTCACAACCGCGTCGGTCTGCTCTTGCTGAAACTCGAGCGCTGAATCGAGCTTTCTGCCAGCACGTGACGCGGCGCCAGTAATGTCGCGGCAGCCCCGCGCAAGCGCTTCCGCTGTACGTCCGCGCGCTCCTTTCATTGGCGAGGGATGGCGCGCAGGGCGGCGGCCTTTGGGCGTGCGAGAAAAGAATTTACGCCGCGGCTCGACACAGGTGCGAACTGGCGCGTGCAAGAATTCTTCACTTGACCCTGGATGTGAGGTTGATGACTTGGCCCCGGATACTCCAAGTGCTCGCGCGCGCATGGTTCCGTAGCCCGTCTAGTGCCTCACTGACCGACTCCAGCGCTACGGTGCACGTGGCCGGTGTGGTACTGGGGCTGGGCAGCCTTGGTTGGGGCCGGCGGAGACCGCCGTCTAGCGAGCGGTCGCACTAGTCGGATATCGTTGTTTGACCTGTTTGTTCAACGGTTGTTTGACCATACTTTGAGCCTTAATTATTAATTCGTGTTTGGGTCTCTGAGGTCGATACGAGCGTCTATAACTTGCCACAAGCAAGCTTTCAAAAGTCAAAACACAAGTTTGGTATTGCTAAAAATCTCTCTCTCAAAAGTCCTGCTGAGCGGGACTCGCAGAACCGCCGTCCGCGCGCTGTGAACAGCGCCGTGGTCAAACACTGTTCAACGTCGTCAAACACGTGACGGTCCAGTAACCGCCAGTGGTACTGGTACCATCGCCTCTGAGAGGCACCAGTGTGTGGTCGGGAACGCATGAACGATACCATGTTTTGCGTGTGATCTGTGATCTGTGAGGGTCCGCCCGCAGGCGCATTTTGTATACCGAGGCGGTGCCCGGTGCCGAGCGCAGGCAGAGCCCACAGGTCGGACCTTAAGACAGCATTGTAGATCCCTGGGCGAGGGTGGTGGAGAGGGCGGTCCGGCGGCGGAGCACCCACCTCCTCCCGGCGTGCCGGGAGGCAGGATGTCATCCCCCGTGATCCAGACCGCCCCGTTGGAGGTAGACCGCTCGTCTAGCCAATCAGCCTTAAGCGAGCGGCCTGGCCGTTGGAATGGCCGAGTATCCGAGAGGCGGCAGCCTCTGCCCTCGGAGAGGGGGGGAGGTCTATGACCTACCTAGTTGTCCGGCATGCGAGGGCATGCTCGGCCGTTCGGAGTCCCCCCTCGTAGAGGACGTCGGAGGGAGGGGAGGACGACTGTCCCTGACGGCGAACCTCAGTTACGAGCCGCCCTCCCCTCGAGACGCGAGGCCAGTGCACTTGGGGCCAAGCCCCCGCGTACACCGTCCCACACGCCTCACGCGGCCTCTGGCTGGAGCGGGATCGCAAGCGAGTCCCCCAGGCCGGCGCGCGTCTTCCGAGAGAGGAGCCGGAGCAAGGGACCTCCTTAGTAAGCCGGCATGCAGGCGCATGCACGGCCGTTCAGAAACTTTCCCAGCCGTTGGAATGGCTGCGCTCCCGCCCCTCACCGGGCCGAACGGGTAGTGGGCGTTGGCGCCGAAGAGGGAGGAGTCGCCGAAGGACGGGTAGTCGTCGGTCATGCGGGGGGAGGAGGAGTCGGCGAGCAGCAGGGAGGAGAAATGCCTGAGAGGGTGGGGAGGGAGGCGTGAGGCGCGAGGTGAGGGGGCGCGGGGCGCGGGGCGTGCGTGGGACGCGAGGCGTGAGGCGCAGGGCGTTGGGCGGGAGGGCGCGGGGCGCTCGAGGTGTGTGTGTGTGTGTGTGTGTGTGTGTGTGTGTGTGTGTGTGTGTGTGTGTGTGTGTGTGTGTGTGTGTGTGTGTGTGTGTGTGTGTGTGTGTGTGTGTGTGTGTGTGTGTGTGTGTGTGTGTGTGTGTGTGTGTGTGTGTGTGTTGGTTTGTTTGTGCGAGGGCTGGGCGGGGCAGGGCAGGGCGGCGGCGAGCGGCGAGCGGCGTCGGCGAGATCGGCGACGAAGAGAGGCGATGGCGACGTACACGGTGGCAGTGTTCACGGCAGCAGCGCCGGTGGCGGCCCCGCGCGGCGGCGGCGGCGCCCTGAGTGAGGCAGACTGCCCTGCACAGCCTGCTGGGAACGCTCCCGACGAGCGGCGCGCCATGCGGGCCCGCCGCGGGCGACGCGGGCGGCGAGCCGACACGCGTGTCGCCGGCGTAGACAGCACTGGCGAAGCGAGGCGGCTGGCGCCGGCCCCGGAGGCGGCTGCAGTAAGAGCAGCGAGGCAGAAGTCACTGTCCAAGGCGTATACTGAGCAGGCTGCCATCGAGCAGCGCGCCATGCGGGCCTGCCGCCGGCGACGAGATTGGAGAGCCGACAGGCATCGAAGAGGTAGGTACTGAGGAGGGCCATCGCGCCCGAGGCGGTCCGCGCCGGCCCTGCAGGCCGTCACAGAGAGCCTGGCGAGGCTGTACAGAATGCCGAGAGCATACTGAGCAGGCTGCCGTCGAGCGACGAGCCATGCTGGCTCGTCGCAGGCGATGAGGTCGAGGAGCCGATCGGAGCGTCGCAGAGGCTGCCGACCACTGCCGTTCGCCCTCGGGCCCAGGGGTGGAAGGCAAGCTTCCTGGCGTTTCTGGCGAGCGTCCAGACGTCGCAGAGCATCCGGCAGGCGCGCAGCGACCCAAATTTTTGCTCACCGCACGGCCGTGCGAGCCGTCGGTCGGTGGTGATGGTCGGCGTCGGGCGCGCGCCGACCGACGCGGCGGCGGTGGGCGTCATGTGGCGCGTTTTGGGACTAGACATTGTCCGAATTGCGGCGGACGTCCCTTATTTTGCGTGTGCAGTTGTAGGTATATTGTGTGTGCAGCACGTCTACAAGTTGCTATGTCTGAGCGCCTCTCGACCGGCGAGCCTGTCCCGGGCTCCACGTACCACGACGGACGAGCCGGAGTTCACGACCGCCACGGCCCACTCCAACGCCCAGAGAGAGAGAGATTTTTAGCAATATGTTAACGCCCAAGAAAAGAAGAATCTCTCTCCCCCAACGCCCACCCCTCAGCACCAGTCTTCTAGGTGGAGGCGGTCCCGCTGGTATCGTCGGGAAGGTCGAGGAGGGTGGGTAGATGAGCGAGAACCTGACGACGCCTGTAACCGGGTACCCACATTGCGAGGGTGGCGGCGGCGAGTCGGCGCGAGGTTCGAGGTTTGCTGGACGGAGTCAAGTGTCTCGCCGAAGAGTGTCTCGCCGAAGAGATCGAGGGACATGTCGTCACTTTGCGACGAGGTGCTAAGCACCGACGAGCTCCTAGGCGTCATCCTCGGCATCCTCCTGCGCGAGGATGCGCTGCGCCGCTGCAAGTGCGCTCGCCTCGTGTGCAAGCGCTGGAAGGATGAGCTGGCACGCGCCGCAAAGACGCCGCCGCGCGGCTGGAAGAGCTTCACCAAGAACTGCGTCTACCTGCGTGGCCGGGTGGAGTCACTGCCGGATGACGAGTCCGACCCGGGTTCGCGGTGGATGCGGGCCATCTACGAGCAGGGGCTGAACGGCCTGCTCGACAGCCGCTTGCCGCATGTGCATGCGTCCTGCGCCGCGCTCGTGGCGCACCACAAGGCGATGCGCCTGAGGGGGCTCTACGTCGTGCTGGCCCCCGCCGCGGCTCACCAACGCTGGCTCGCGGCATTCGCGCGCGACGGCATCTCGGCATTCGCCAACGGCGGCCGGCCCGAACAGCGCTACGCAGGATTTGCAAGTCTCGGGCACCGGCTTGCCCAAGGACAGTCGATCGAGGTTGTCGTCTCCACGTACTCCATGGCCGCCACTGACATATGGTTCATACTGCAGTTCCGCCCAAAGTATGTCTTTTTCGAGGGCGGCCTCTGCCAGCCCAAGCAGTACGCGTCGAGGCTCGCACCGCTGCTCCTCGCCTCGCCGCACCTCGCAGAGCCGCCGAACGGCGTCCTGATTGACGACGCCAGCCTGCTGCAGCACCACGCCAGGAGCATGGAGCTCATCCGCTTCAGCATGGATCGGTTCATCAAAATCTGGCAGCAGGAGGAGGCGAGGCGCGGTGAGGCGAGAACGGGGGGCGGCTCGGACGCAACCTCCGAGTCGGACTCGGTGGCCTCGGAGGAGGAGGACACGGAGCAAGCCGTGGCCGCCGCGCCGTCGCGGCCGCCCTTGTTTGACTCGCCGACGGAGTTCGGCGCTGGAGCGCTCCTGTCGCTCCTGCAGGGCGGCCGCGTCTCGAGCCTCCTGAGGCTGCTTGGGTGGGCGGTGTACACGGAGCGAGGCGTGTGAAGAAGGCTGTGGCGGCGCCGCCGGCTTAGGCTGTGGCGGCGCCGGTGGCGCCAGCGACGTGTTCAAACGACACCACGCGCCGTTTTTGCGCGGTTGATTTGCGCGGTTTTTCTACTTCTTTTCATTTTCGAGATTTTCTACCTAGACACGCTAGAGGGGTAAGGTAAGGTAAGGTAAACGTGCAAGGGGGGGCGACCCTCGCATCTCCACGCCCGGGACACGGGCAGGAGCCCCACGGCATTCAAAGTGCAAGCACCGGCCCGGTGCCGTGGGTGAGCAACCTGCACCCCACTCCCTCCCTCCCAGACACAACCCGCGCACACAACCTCCACAGCGTGGACGACTACGTGTTCAGAAACACCAAGCAGGGAGGCGAGGGTGAAGGGGTAAGGGGCTGTGTGGGGCAGAATCTTCATCCGGCTTATCTGTGACTACTCCATCTAGCCTGGGGGGTCGCACGTCTCCCAAGCCGCGTCCCGTCAGCACTGTCCCCGAGTGGTCCCGCCTCGGCGGCACACACTCTCGACCAGGACAGTCCCGCCAACGGAAACGTGTCGCGCGCCGGCGACGATTGCGGCGTGGTTGTTGTGAAGCGGAGATGGCTCGACCACCGCCCTGCTTCGCAGACCGGGCGAGGAGGGGCCTGCTCCCGTTCCGCGAGGAACAGGAGGTTTCCCCCCCTCCCCCGGCCGGAGCAGCCACGGTGGAAGGCAGCCCCTTGAGTCGAGGGCGGCGCTACCATTGCGCTGACTCAAAGACCAGCTAGCTTGTGCGACCGAGGTTGAAAAATTCTTTTTCTGAAAATTCTCTCACAACACATAAAATGTCGAAACGGAGCCAGTAGCAGCCGTCTCGCCGGCATGGAGCTGCTGTGGTTCATGCTCGGCACGCTCGCCGTGGCCGCCGCCGTCGCCGGCGCGCTCTGCCTCTTAGGCACACCGTCGGCCTCCGCGTCGGCCTCCGCGTTGGCCACCGCGAGCGTTCGAACTGGTGCTGGTGGCGGCAAGCCGGGGAATGGCCGCAGCTATCCTCGCGCGCGCGCGGCCACCGTGCCCGTCCGGTGCGACCCTGGCGGCCGCCTCGCGGTCCTGCTCGTGCGCTCGCGGAACCATCCCGAGTCGTTTGTCTTTCCGGGCGGCGGGATTGAGCCTGGCGAGAGCGAGCAGGAGGCGGCTCGGCGGGAGACGGAGGAGGAGGCGGGTGTGGTCGGCCGGATCGGGCGCAGGCTGGGCAGCCACTCGGACGAGCGGCGCAACACCACTGCCCTCTTCGTGCTGCACGTCCACGACACGCTCGACGAGTGGGCAGAGGCGCGAGGCCGTAGTCGCGGCACTCGCACCGGCCGGCAACACACAGCACTGCACGCACCCCACCTCTGCCCCGCGCACTTCACTAGGCGGGCGAGCGCGGCAACCGGCAGTGGCACTCGCTCGGCGTCGTCGGCACGCGCGCCTCCGAGGTGTCGCACGCACGCGCACGCGCTCGCGCTCGCGCACGCACACGCACACACGCACGCACGCATGCAATCACGCACGCACACACACACGCACGCACACACACACACACACGCACGCACACGCACGCACGCACGCGCACACACGCACACACCGGCGAGGGACTCCAGCACACCCCACGCCGCGGGGCCAGCACGCGGGGCCAGCACGCACACATCGCAAGACGGCTCAAGACTATACGCCCTGGGGAAGAGAGCGCAAGGGCGCAGCCAGCGCGCGCGCGGGGGGGGGGGGGGGGGGGGGCCCACCCATTTACCGGAAAGGGGGGGGGGGGGGGACAAACATTTGAACCTGAAGGGCCCCCCAAATTTCCAAACCCAGGGAAAAAAGGGGGGCCCCTACCCCCCCAAAAGACCCCCAGCCCTCCAAAAGGGGCCCCCACAGCGGGGGAAAGGGGGACCCAAAACCCCCCCCCCCCCCCCCGGGGGAGGCCCCCC